AACAAGGTTCTCACATTAACTCGCACTAATTTTCATCACATTCAGCAACCCATATATGGTACGCAATAAATAATATTGAGCATCATATGATATGTAAATCATATGTATATTAGCCTATTAGGGACTGACATGACCTAGTGTCTACACGAAGCCCAATTTATTTTAGAACTGAAACTATCAAACTTTTTATGAATATTTAGACTAAATGTATGCATGTATGTATGACGAATATAGGTCTTTTCTTAGGGGGTTTTTTTTTTTTTTTTGTCGTGTGACTAAACTTTTTATGTATCTAACTAGGGGCACATACAATTGGTACCTCACGTTGCATACTCGTTGCTAGAAGGCTCTACAATTTTACAGGGGTAGGAGACGCCGATCCTTCTCTTAATGTGACATATGCAAATGAACTAAGGAAAATATGCCCGAACCCTCAAATTCCAACCACAACTCTTGAAATGGATCCTAATAGCTCACTCTCCTTTGATTCTGATTACTATCGAGCTTTAAACCAACATAAAGGTTTGTTCGTGTCCGATGCAGCATTACTCACAAACCCACAATCGGCTCATATAACACAAGTTTTGCAAAATCCTTCAGTGTTCTTTGCTCAATTTGCTCAGTCCATGGTACGAATGGGGGCTATTGAAGTCCTTACAGGTCATCAAGGAGAAGTCAGGATGAATTGTCGAGTTGTTAACAAACAATGATGACAAGCAAAATGAAATTTGGTCTATATTGTGTTGTTTTTTGTTACTTTTATGTATTTTTTTTCTTGTAACATGTAAAATGGTATCTTTTTCTTGTAATATGTTCAAAGACATAATGAGAAAGATGATACAGAGTATGTAACTAAGCAACACACAAAAATTGTTTTCAATACAACTTGCTCTTGGAATCATTTGTTAAGTTTTTTTGACCTAATATCTCAAAAGTCAATTGTGATCAACATGATAAACATAAAACAGACTGAAAAGCTCTATAAGAAGCACATATTTTCATGTTTAAAGGCCAAGTGAATGTAACATAATTGCATTATGTCCATGCATTCGATTCTCCGCTTGGGGAAAGACAATGGAGTGTGGAGCTTCAATAACTCCATTAGTAATCTCCACACTTTTTTCTGCTGGTAAACAATGCATGAAGTAATCCCGATGTCTATCTTCATAAGTTCTTCGTCCATCTGTCATAAAAATTTATAAATTTTTACATAAAATGAAACTATTTAACCATTTCTTTTATCAATCGTCACATTAGAACAATATCCATTTAATCCTCTTGAAAAGAACAAAATATTTACATAAAAAGAGGAACCTATTTAACCTTTTTTCTATATCAATTTTTATATAAAAAGGAACCCATTTGACCATCTTGTAAAGAACATTTTTTTGGCAATTTTTTACGAAAAGAACCCATTTTACCCTCTTGAAAAGAACAATTTTTTTTTACCAAATTTACATTAAAAACCACCTATTTAACTTTTTCATTTTGATCAATTGTCACATCAATAATAAACCATTTGACTCTCGTGAAAAGAACTAACATTTATCAATTTTTACATTAAAAAGAACCCAATCAACTTTTTTTTTTTCTTTTTTTAATCATTTTTCACGCAAACCGTTTCATCCTTTTGAAAAGAATCAAATTTTACATAAAAAAAGAACCCATTTGACCATCTTGAAAAGAAGAAACCTTTAATAACTTTCACATAAAAAGAACCTATTAAACATTTTGTTTATCAACCTTTACATTAATAAAACGACCCACTTTACCCTCTTGTATAAGAACAAAATTTTATCAATTTTTAAAGTATGCGGTATGGGTCTCAATGAGACTCGTCGTGGCTGTGGTGCATGGCGGAAACGCCGTTATAACAGGGGAACCCCCCCCCCCCCCCCCTACTCGTTGCATCTTGTCGAGCCGATTCTCGTGACCGTTGCGCCCTATTGAAACGGGAAAAAAGATACGTTGAGCTAATGATCGTTGCAAACGGTCAATATTCAAAATTTAAAAAAAATTACCTTTTTACACACACACACACACACACACACCCGCCAGCGCCTCTAAGAGTAGGGCGCCCCAGTGAAAGGTCCGCGCCCGCCAGGGACGCTCCCGGTGACAGGACAAAAGATACGGTCAGGAGACAAGATACATGATCAGACCATTACCGTCGGAGCCAATAATAGCGCTCTAACGGATAGAGGCGCACGACCCTCCAATCAGTGCCTATGACCTTGTCTCCTAAAAGTGATCCTGTCTTGTACGAACAGGACATGGACGCTAGGTATAAAAGGGAACACACATGAGCTCAAGAGGGAAGTGATCTTCTTCTAACAACACTCACATAAACCCTAAACTCTATCTAACTTGACCGTCAAAGCGTCTTTCCGGGAGTCTCCTCCTGGGAAACGATTGAAGGCCTCTCTTTCTTGTGATCTTGCAAAAGCCACTCGAAATCCATCAGAAGAGCTTGGGAAGGAAAGATAGTGTGGTCAAATCATTTGGCGCAACACGAGAACCACACCCAATATGCACAGCCTCCATTTTACCAAGCAACTGGATACGCCGCGCACCGGCGACGAGATAAAACATGGTCTGTGCGGCAACATAAGACATATTATGAGAAAGGGCGGGGATAACCATGGCTTCCATGTCTGCAACAGCAGCTAAGGGGAAGGCATGTCAGGCGAACTCCATGACATTAGCACGCATGGAGAGGCGGGACTCGTTATGAAGACTCTAGGTGGGAACAAAACAGGAAGGCCCAAAAGAACCTTCACCAGCGCCCCCGCCTAGAGAAATGGGAGTTTGTCCTGGGTCACTAGGACCCTTTAAAGGAGAGGAGTTAAAAGGAACAGGAGAAGCAAGTTTAATAGGAGGAGGAGAACCAACTTGAACAGGAACAGAAGAAGCAACTTGAGCAGGAACAACATGCTGTTTAGATGCCCCACTGACCCCTTTGGACTATTGAACGTCGTCATGTTCAACACATATGCTTAGCGCATCGAATCCTAATACTTATTGTATTAAATTTCATGTTCAACACATACAACCAAATGCTTAGCGCATCGAATCTTAATACTTAGTCTATTAAATTTCACGATCAACACATACAATCAAATGTTTAGCGCATCAAACCCAAATGCTGAGCGATGATTTGGCATAAAGTGCCCAACATTATACAGAAAAATACTACCAACAAAACATTAATACCAAAGTAAATTTAAAGTCCAGAGTCAAAATATCCAAAGCAATAAAACAAACATTAAAAAAGGTCTTCATGCCCCAAGAGGGGTAGCACACGATGCAGGAGCATCCTCATCACCAACAAGATCATCACCACTGTTACTCTCGACACCAACCTTCTCACTACCAATAACAACCACATCACCACCAATGTCCTTGCCATCTACATCAATATCGCAACTCGTGCCACCATCCATACCACCACTGACACCCCCAACAACACAACAATCGCCACCAACAACATTTTCACCAGCATGAGCAATCTCTTCATCATCACCTACCATATCCTCAAGAGTGCATTCAGAGACAGAAAAAGCACAAAGCTCCTGAATCCCTTGGATGTTCAAATCTCCTAACCCTAGAAGCGAAGCGTGATCCATGTTGGCAAATAATAGAAGAGCCTCATTCATACTTACAACAGGAGCATAGGAGGGGGCGCTAGTAACAAGATCTTCAGGCCCAACACTTTCCAGAGTACTACCAACAGATTCTGCCCCAGCAACGAAGGCAGAGTGACAAATAAGACTCACAACGCTTGTAAATTTTGGGTGTTCAATCAGCCTGTCAATAATTCGCACAATACCCACTCTCAGCAGTGAGTCCAGATCACGTTGTGTGGCCTCAGCACTCGCCTGCAGAGTAGTGATCACTCGGTCGTGATCAACAGCATCATGCTTGAGGCTCTCAACTTGGATCATCAGACCTTTATTAACCTGAGTAAGAGAATCAACCTTCGCTTCCAGGCGGACCTGACCTCCTCCACGGTAGATTTCTTTGAAACAAGAAGCTGATACTTCTGTTCTGAATGTTGAAGGTCATCACCAAGCTCAGAAACAAGACGTTCCAATTGAGCCACATGAGAACCATACCCAGCATGCGCAACCTCCATTTCACCAAGAAACTGGATACACTATGCACCTGCGACGAGATAAAACATGGACTGCGCGGCAGCATGATACATATTATGAGAAAGGGCAGGGCTTCCCATGGCTTCCATGTCTACAATAGCATCTAGGAGGAAGGCACGTCGGGCGAACTCCACGGCATTAGCACGCACGAAGAGGCGGGACTCGTTATGAAGACTCTAGGTGGGAACAAAACGGGAAGGCCCAGAAGAATCTTCACCAGCACCCCCGCCTGGAGAAATGGGAGTTTGTCCTAGGTTACTAGGACCCTTTAAAGGAGAGAAGTTAATAGGAACAGGAGAAGCAACTTTAACAGGAACAGGAGAAGCAGCTTGAATAGGAACAGAAGAAGCAACTTGAGCAGGAACAACAGGTTGTTTTAACGCCCCACTCACCCCTTCGGACTTTTGAACATCGTCATCAAGGAACACAACAACGGCTCCGGTGTTGAAGAAATAGATTTCAGAAGGCGGGAGAAACTGCGCCTGGTCTGAACCTGTTTGGCGATGTTAGGCACACCGGTGGCTGTCTCTCCCGTGGCCAGTACGGCTTTCCTCTTAGCTTGCATACGCCAAACATCAGAGATGATACCATCCTTGATGTCCTCGTCACTCTCAGCAAAAGAATGGTTAGCACCACCCAGCGGCATGATGGATGAAATAGGACGAGCGGCCAGAGGGTCCACCTCAGCAGACGCTGAACCTTCCCCGGCCGTCAGAGGAATGGGCATAGTGGCGGTTAATGCAAGCTGATCTAGCCGACGAGGTGGGGGAAGGAGATCAACCAGATCCACCTCCCGCCACTCCAGCTTCCCTCGGTAGCGCTTCCGCAGGACCTCGTCCATGGATATCATGGATTCAACACCTGAAAATATTAAAATATAAGGAGATGCATCAGAATGCGAAAGATTATCCTCAAAATTTTAAAACCCTAGCCCCAACAAGCATACTCAAATAAATAAAGAGGAAGAAAATGCAGGTACTTGCCATCGACGATGCAGAAGAAAACCATCATCTTGTTACGGCGCCTCCAGGAAGGGCTCATCCCCACACCGGACAACAGAGCTTCAGAGTAATCCTCGGGAGATACCTGGACATTCTTCAGGAAATCAGCAACACCCTGATTATGGGGAAACAGCTTTGGAGGGGTGTCGGCGAAGGTGTTAGCACGGTAACGACCGCTACCGGCCAAGCCCTGGTTCACCCACAACCACTTATCCTGCCAAATTTTGGGTGTTCTCCCGTCAAGAACCAGGGTGTACCCTCTTTGCCGGCCAGAAAATGTGTACTTATCACCAGTACAGCAAAACCTGAAGAAGTACTTGAACATGAAATAATCGGGGAGGTAATCGTTGGCTCGACAAATCATCTCGAACGCCACCACTTTATTCACAACGTTCAGAGTCTGCATTTGAACACTACAACCATCCTTTTGTAGGACCTCCTCCTGGAATTCGGTTAGCGGAAGACGAATACCAGCATCTAGGGTTTTATGATAAATCCCAACTTTTCCGGGAGGGGGGATGTGATAGAAGAACCGGGCGATGGGAACTCCACGCTGTCCAAGGGAGAGATGGTCTCAAGCTATTGATACTCAGTTGCAGAAGGAAGAATTCATGGGGGACTCGCCATAAGAGAAAAGAAAGGAAAACGGACTTGGGGAAGAATAACAACAAAGGAAAGGAAGCATAAATAAGAAGGCGTAATAAACGTTCTTATAAGAGAAAAGAAAGGGAAGGATATTCAAAATATCTAACATGGTGATGTAACCGCTGGCCATCATAAGCGGTCATGTCATCATTAAAACCGGACCGGCAGGCAAACAGGGAGTCGACACATATAGAGCAGTCAAGTCCATAATGTCGTAACTAGCATTGCAACGATACGGCTACCGGACTGGGTGACCTAATGACATGCCTAAGCCAGCACGGAAGAGTCACACACGGTCAAGGAACCTGGCGCATTGGCCGAGCCAAGCTCAGCGGGCTCAGCGCCCGCCAGCGCCCATAAGAGTAGGGTGCCCCAGTGAAAGGTCCGCGCCCGCCAGGGACGCTCCCGGTGACAGGACAAAAGATACGGTCAGGAGACAAGATACATGATCAGACCATTACCGTCGGAGCCAATAATAGCGCTCTAACGGATAGAGGCGCACGACCCTCCAATCAGTGCCTATGACCTTGTCTCCTAAAAGTGATCCTGTCTTGTACGAACAGGACATGGACGCTAGGTATAAAAGGGAACACACATGAGCTCAAGAGGGAAGTGATCTTCTTCTAAAAACACTCACATAAACCCTAAACTCTATCTAACTTGACCGTCAAAGCGTCTTTCCGGGAGTCTCCTCCTGGGAAACGATTGAAGGCCTCTCTTTCTTGTGATCTTGCAAAAGCCACTCGAAATCCATCAGAAGAGCTTGGGAAGGAAAGATAGTGTGGTCAAATCATTTGGCGCAACACGAGAACCACACCCAATATGCACAGCCTCCATTTTACCAAGCAACTGGATACGCCGCGCACCGGCGACGAGATAAAACATGGTCTGTGCGGCAACATAAGACATATTATGAGAAAGGGCGGGGATAACCATGGCTTCCATGTCTGCAACAGCAGCTAAGGGGAAGGCATGTCAGGCGAACTCCATGACATTAGCACGCATGGAGAGGCGGGACTCGTTATGAAGACTCTAGGTGGGAACAAAACAGGAAGGCCCAAAAGAACCTTCACCAGCGCCCCCGCCTAGAGAAATGGGAGTTTGTCCTGGGTCACTAGGACCCTTTAAAGGAGAGGAGTTAAAAGGAACAGGAGAAGCAAGTTTAATAGGAGGTGGAGAAGCAACTTGAACAGGAACAGAAGAAGCAACTTGAGCAGGAACAACATGCTGTTTAGATGCCCCACTGACCCCTTTGGACTATTAAACGTCGTCATGTTCAACACATATGCTTAGCGCATCGAATCCTAATACTTATTGTATTAAATTTCATGTTCAACACATACAACCAAATGCTTAGCGCATCGAATCTTAATACTTAGTCTATTAAATTTCACGATCAACACATACAATCAAATGTTTAGCGCATCAAACCCAAATGCTGAGCGATGATTTGGCATAAAGTGCCCAACATTATACAGAAAAATACTACCAAGAAAACATTAATACCAAAGTAAATTTAAAGTCCAGAGTCAAAATATCCAAAGCAATAAAACAAACATTAAAAAAGGTCTTCATGCCCCAAGAGGGGTAGCACACGATGCAGGAGCATCCTCATCACCAACAAGATCATCACCACTGTTACTCTCGACACCAACCTTCTCACTACCAATAACAACCACATCACCACCAATGTCCTTGCCATCTACATCAATATCGCAACTCGTGCCACCATCCATACCACCACTGACACCCCCAACAACACAACAATCGCCACCAACAACATTTTCACCAGCATGAGCAATCTCTTCATCATCACCTACCATATCCTCAAGAGTGCATTCAGAGACAGAAAAAGCACAAAGCTCCTGAATCCCTTGGATGTTCAAATCTCCTAACCCTAGAAGCGAAGCGTGATCCATGTTGGCAAATAATAGAAGAGCCTCATTCATACTTACAACAGGAGCATAGGAGGGGGCGCTAGTAACAAGATCTTCAGGCCCAACACTTTCCAGAGTACTACCAACAGATTCTGCCCCAGCAACGAAGGCAGAGTGACAAATAAGACTCACAACGCTTGTAAATTTTGGGTGTTCAATCAGCCTGTCAATAATTCGCACAATACCCACTCTCAGCAGTGAGTCCAGATCACGTTGTGTGGCCTCAGCACTCGCCTGCAGAGTAGTGATCACTCGGTCGTGATCAACAGCATCATGCTTGAGGCTCTCAACTTGGATCATCAGACCTTTATTAACCTGAGTAAGAGAATCAACCTTCGCTTCCAGGCGGACCTGACCTCCTCCACGGTAGATTTCTTTGAAACAAGAAGCTGATACTTCTGTTCTGAATGTTGAAGGTCATCACCAAGCTCAGAAACAAGACGTTCCAATTGAGCCACATGAGAACCATACCCAGCATGCGCAACCTCCATTTCACCAAGAAACTGGATACACTATGCACCTGCGACGAGATAAAACATGGACTGCGCGGCAGCATGATACATATTATGAGAAAGGGCAGGGCTTCCCATGGCTTCCATGTCTACAATAGCATCTAGGAGGAAGGCACGTCGGGCGAACTCCACGGCATTAGCACGCACGAAGAGGCGGGACTCGTTATGAAGACTCTAGGTGGGAACAAAACGGGAAGGCCCAGAAGAATCTTCACCAGCACCCCCGCCTGGAGAAATGGGAGTTTGTCCTAGGTTACTAGGACCCTTTAAAGGAGAGAAGTTAATAGGAACAGGAGAAGCAACTTTAACAGGAACAGGAGAAGCAGCTTGAATAGGAACAGAAGAAGCAACTTGAGCAGGAACAACAGGTTGTTTTAACGCCCCACTCACCCCTTCGGACTTTTGAACATCGTCATCAAGGAACACAACAACGGCTCCGGTGTTGAAGAAATAGATTTCAGAAGGCGGGAGAAACTGCGCCTGGTCTGAACCTGTTTGGCGATGTTAGGCACACCGGTGGCTGTCTCTCCCGTGGCCAGTACGGCTTTCCTCTTAGCTTGCATACGCCAAACATCAGAGATGATACCATCCTTGTTGTCCTCGTCACTCTCAGCAAAAGAATGGTTAGCACCACCCAGCGGCATGATGGATGAAATAGGACGAGCGGCCAGAGGGTCCACCTCAGCAGACGCTGAACCTTCCCCGGCCGTCAGAGGAATGGGCATAGTGGCGGTTAATGCAAGCTGATCTAGCCGACGAGGTGGGGGAAGGAGATCAACCAGATCCACCTCCCGCCACTCCAGCTTCCCTCGGTAGCGCTTCCGCAGGACCTCGTCCATGGATATCATGGATTCGACACCTGAAAATATTAAAATATAAGGAGATGCATCAGAATGCGAAAGATTATCCTCAAAATTTTAAAACCCTAGCCCCAACAAGCATACTCAAATAAATAAAGAGGAAGAAAATGCAGGTACTTGCCATCGACGATGCAGAAGAAAACCATCATCTTGTTACGGCGCCTCCAGGAAGGGCTCATCCCCACACCGGACAACAGAGCTTCAGAGTAATCCTCGGGAGATACCTGGACATTCTTCAGGAAATCAGCAACACCCTGATTATGGGGAAACAGCTTTGGAGGGGTGTCGGCGAAGGTGTTAGCACGGTAACGACCGCTACCGGCCAAGCCCTGGTTCACCCACAACCACTTATCCTGCCAAATTTTGGGTGTTCTCCCGTCAAGAACCAGGGTGTACCCTCTTTGCCGGCCAGAAAATGTGTACTTATCACCAGTACAGCAAAACCTGAAGAAGTACTTGAACATGAAATAATCGGGGAGGTAATCGTTGGCTCGACAAATCATCTCGAACGCCACCACTTTATTCACAACGTTCAGAGTCTGCATTTGAACACTACAACCATCCTTTTGTAGGACCTCCTCCTGGAATTCGGTTAGCGGAAGACGAATACCAGCATCTAGGGTTTTATGATAAATCCCAACTTTTCCGGGAGGGGGGATGTGATAGAAGAACCGGGCGATGGGAACTCCACGCTGTCCAAGGGAGAGAGACCATAGGTGCTCTCAAGCTATTGATACTCAGTTGCAGAAGGAAGAATTCATGGGGGACTCGCCATAAGAGAAAAGAAAGGAAAACGGACTTGGGGAAGAATAACAACAAAGGAAAGGAAGCATAAATGAGAAGGCGTAATAAACGTTCTTATAAGAGAACAGAAAGGGAAGGATATTCAAAATATCTAACATGGTGATGTAACCGCTGGCCATCATAAGCGGTCATGTCATCATTAAAACCGGACCGGCAGGCAAACAGGGAGTCGACACATATAGAGCAGTCAAGTCCATAATGTCGTAACTAGCATTGCAACGATACGGCTACCGGACTGGGTGACCTAATGACATGCCTAAGCCAGCACGGAAGAGTCACACACGGTCAAGGAACCTGGCGCATTAGCCGAGCCAAGCTCAGCGGGCTCAGCGCCCGCCAGCGCCCATAAGAGTAGGGTGCCTCGGTGAAAGGCTCACACCCGCTAGGGAATCTCCCGGTGCCAGGAAAAAGATACAGTTAGAAGACAAGATACATGATCAGACCATTACCGTTGGAGCCAATGATAGCGCTCTAACGTATTAGATTAATGTCTAAGTCCGTAACTATATTTGGTATGTACTTGACCCGATTGCGCATGGTCCTTTTAGGTTGCCTTCACCAAAGCAACTTGATAGGATGATTTATGGAGAAAAGACGATTAATTATCATTTATTAATATATTTTATAAATAATATATATTAAAAGATAAATCATATTGTTTAATTAATATTAGTCAAGAATTAATTGTTAATTAGTTTTGTGACTAAAAGACATTAATTAAACTTAGGGGACTAGAATTATAATTATAAGATAGTTGCAATTGGGCTATGGATCACCTTGGAACATAGGTTGGACGAATTCTATGGGAAGCCCATAAGAAACTCGTCCAAGGGGTGTTCTAAAGGGAATCCATGGGCTGCTTAGGGCCTAAGCAGTCAAATTAGTGTAGGTTTCCTGGATGATAACCCTAATGGTCTCACTATATAAAGACCCATATGGCCCTAAAAACGTGAGGAACTCTTTTGGAAGAACCTTAGGACGTTTTTGGTGATCCTCCTTATTATCATAAGTCATTCTCTTGCTCTTGGTGTTTGTAAGCCATTAGAGGAGTAACACTTGTGACTCTAAGCTCCAAGACTTGAAGATTCAAGCCATTATCAAAAGGTAATCATCTAGATCTGCTCGTATGTGATAATTTCGAAATGCATATGCTAGATTAGGGTTCTTGAGCCTTGGATGAATTGCATGTACAAAATAATGAAACCTAGATCCAAGCATTAGGGTTTGCATGAGCATATATGATGTTCTTTTGCATAAAACTCATCAGTGATATCAGAGACTTTGATTGGTTTCTGTTGTATGTGATGCAACGCTTATATATCTGCTAAAAATCGAGTTTCTGGCCTCTGCCCGACCCGACTCGGCGAGTCAGTATCTGGACTCGACGAGTCTAGGTAGTGTCTCGGCGGTAGTGACTCGTCGAGTCCGGGAGTCGGGCAGAGGATATTTTGGGAATTATTGTTGTTTTGCTGTAAGATAATTGTTAAAATTGTTTTTATATGATAAACTCTGAATTTTATTATTTCTATGTGATTATTCTTACCAAATTAAATAGATAATTACCATTTATTTGAATAATAAATTAGTTATAAGATAATCTTTGATTACTTGATTTATTTGATGATTTATCTTGTAAATAATCTTGATTATGTCAAATTTTGATAATCTTTAAATTAATTGTTTAATTTAAAATTATTTGCTATTTGATCCTTTGTGTTTTGAAAAGTTTCAAAACTTGCCCCCTCAAGTTTTGGAATTTAATTTTTTTGATTAAAAAGTTTAATTTTGAAATATTTAAATTCTAAACCCTAATGTTTTGAAATGTTTCAAAACTTGCCCTGAAGTTTTGGAATTTAAATTTTAATTAAATGTTTAATTTTAAAATGTTAAATTCTAAAACCCTAATTTTTGAAAAAAAAAAATTTAATTGCACTCTTATCGTTTTATTAAATTAATTAAATGTATAATTAAAGAGAGTTAATAAATCCATAGTGATATGGTTTATATTTAATTAAATTAAAAGTGTAATTTATTTAATTAGACCACCTAGTATTTTAAAAGTGTAAAATACACCCTTATACTATATATAACATTAAAATTGTAGTATTATATATGTATAACTTAAATGTTAGTCTTGTCATTAGTAGACCTCATTCACGAAGCCGATCTATAAGAGGGGTATAAGGTTTTGGCCTATAAAATGGTCGTTTAATGGGTGTCCACGCTCACCCACCGCTTCCTTGATTGGTAGAGGGTCGTTAGCCGAACGGGTATGATAGGGCAAACCCTTTCCATTAAAAGTATAATGAATTATAAAGTAACTAAATGTTTTTTCAAAATTCCCAATCTTAGTTACTATAAGAAAAAGTGAATTTGATGCAATTCCATGAAATTACACTTTGTACCCTTGTTAAGGCGTTAGTGGAGTGAGTGTGGTTAACCGGCACACTAAATGGGTTCTAAGCAAAGGTAACGAAGGGTGACTTGATGTTTGTCATAGTTCGGTGGAGCGTGTGTGGTTAACCGACACATCGAATAGGTGACTGTAACATTGGGAGCACCATGTATATTTGCATGGTTATTCACACCCTGTTTTGTGATCCTCGGCATCCCAGTCACAAATCGAGGAGCATATTGAGATTTAAACAAGTCATTCAAAAGTTCAATGAATCTCAAAGGATCTAGGAGTTTTCAATACATTTAAAACTTAATCTCGTTTTTGTTTTTCATGGTGGAAAATTAGTGAATCGTCATTCACTTACCTTCAAATGTGTGCAATTTGGTTTACGGCATCCCTCTCCCAAGTTGTAGAGTATTGTGTTGGGTCCTAGCCTTAATATCTCATTAGGGTGATTTATTAAGAACTCAATCAACTAACTTGAAATTTCCCCGTTTTGTTGATGTCAAAGTATGATAACTATGGTCTTCCCAGATCCCGTGGAACAAGCCTTCCAGATGAAGATGATATTCCACGATTCGATCGAGGAACAAGATATCATGCTTCACTTCCTCCACCTCTTCCTATTGATCTCCCTAACCCACATGTTCAAAGACTTGAAAATTTCAAGCTCACTCAAGCCCTATTGGCGATGAAACATGAAGATGGAAAGTTAGTGTGTGCATATGTCTTAGAGATAAAGTCACACATTGATAGGTTAAGCATGTTGGGAGTCGTTGTCTGTGAGGAGCTGGCTATTGACTGGGTTCTTCAGTCGCTTCTTGACTTATATAGTGAGTTCGTAAGAGAGTACTATATTATAGACCATGACATGACCCTCATCGATCTCACCTATTTACTTATTGTTGTTGAATCAGCAATGATTTGGCGCACTGGAGAAGCAAAGTTGATTGGTAGATCTGCCTTCTAAACCACTATGGACATAGGAAATGGCAACGAAAGGCATGCCATGGTCAAAAAGTTTGATCATAAGAGAAAGGCAAAGTCTGAAGTAGTTCTGTGTGCTGTTCTAAAAGAGTCAACTTGCTTTTATTGCCAAGAGAAGGGGCATTGGAGACGAAGTTGTCCTATCTACCCGAGGGGTCTAAGAGATGGGAGAGTCAAGGTGTATGGCTTTTCTTCAGGTAAAATCCACTATCTACCTCCATTAAGTTCCTAATCATTGATTCTTAATACATAATGTGATAAGATTACATCTGAATGTTTTGCAGGATTAGAGAAAATAGAGGAAGCTTGATTGAAGAGCAAGATGAGTCTAATCACGAAGAAATGGGTCACGATCGCATAGATTCGAAGATCAGATTTTGAGCTTAGAAAGTTATGACAGATTTGTTAGGAATATTTGATTACATAATTTTTCAGTTGATTTTGCATTGTAAGGACATGTTTCCGTTGCTTTTATGAATAAAATAAATTTTTTATTTGTCTTATTTATATATATCCTTGCAATGAAATCGTTGTGAAAAAATTGATGTTTGTGTATTTCCATAGATGGATGTGATTCTCAGTTATGTTATGGAAGTGTCAAATTTCTCTAAGTAAGGAAAGATTCCCATCACCCAAGTTTCAGTTGGATAGAAGCTTGGAATCATATGATTTGAATCATGTGATGTATGGAAATCTTGGTACTTAGGAAATTAAGACGAATTCCTTGATCACACAAGTATGTGATTCAAGTGAAGGACTAAAGGACTAGAACACAATGTTGTGCACTAGTCAAGTCCACCACAAATAACATGTAACACTGATTTTTCAAACAAAATTTTCAATTTTTATATAACATAATTCCACTAATATTCATAAAAACACCCATTTTACTTGTTCAATAAAACAGTACAAAATCCCAAGATCAACATGTAAAACTTCAAACGTGTGTGTACGGATCAAGCCGGCGCCTTCCCGCGGTCGTCACTAACACCTGAAACAAATAACATCAACACTGTAAGCACAAAGCTTAGTGAGTTCCCCAAAATACCACATAAAACACATATTAGCCACTCGAGGCTATAACTCTGTGGGTCCGTGCACCCAAACTCTGTGAACCCTCAGGTTCTAGCTCTGATAAACATGCACCACATAAATCACATATAAATCATGCAGTACAACACATAACATACATAGCATACAAATACTCTAACACATAACTCTGGTTACCTACTCAAGGTAAAGTATAGTGAGGAGACTCACCTCGTGTGTCTCGGTAACTCGTAACCCTGAAATCACTAAACACTCGATCCGCCGAGCTGTAGTCCCCCTATAGCACAATACATCTCTAATTAACAC